CATTTAAATATTTGGGAGTTACTTTTCAGTCTTTTGCTGTTTAGAAAGGACAAGTAAGAGCTCTTACTGACAAGGTCCAACAATGTTAATGCTATTCCTCATTTTGCTAGTAGCAGAGGCAATAATTACATTACTGCTATTTTTTTAAAGCTAAGGTGATCAGTCACATGCTGTTTGGCTTGCTGATTTGCAGATATGAAAACCTATAAAAGCAATATGGTCTAAATTTCTGACAGCTGTATTTCAAGTTTCTTGGAATGTGTCTATCTCATTATTGCACTAGGAATCTGGAGTAGCTTCTCCAGAGGCTCCTATACAGCTTTGTCAAATAAAAGTTTGGGTAAAATTTATTTCGATTGATGTATCCCTTTCCTCTTTGAGATTTTGGAACAGTTTTCTATTGTTTTGGAAGAAAGAGACTGAATTTGATCTAAAATACTGTGGACTTCAGGAAAGCAAAGCAACACAAGGCAATGTGTGTTTGATAGTAATCATCAGAAAGAACTGAGTACAACCTCCAGCTACTGTAATGGTTTGTCCCAAGGACCTTTCGCTTCTGATAATATATTGTGTTTCCTTCACCAGAGATCTTTCTGTTTGGGCAGATTAATGCTCAGCCGTTCATGTTAATGGAAGGGAGATATGTCATCAAAAATGCATGAGCAGTTATGGCCTTGGCCAGGGAAAAATTTGAGACAGTTATGCATGCATTACTGTGCCCCATTCTATATGGCCTGGCGCACAAACTTAATAATGTTCCCTTGTTCATTGCATTGGTACATCAGGTGAGGACTATGTCCAGAAACCTTTGTAAGAGTTGCCAAGTTGTGTTCCACAGCTACTATTATAGATGGAGAGAGAAAAATGCATACTTGCGTACACTCTTGCATGCGCACGTAGACACACACAGATATACATACATTTATATGCATAAACACATTAAAGATAATTTAGATTGGTTTAATTGAGCGTTTATTTTTCCTTATTTTAGATATAGTTATTTATTGCTTCTGAAGTTTTTAAACATTTCACCAGGCATGTGAATGAAGATGGCCCTTTTGACATAATGTACCTGGATTTCACATAAATACTGATGGGGTCTTGAATTATCTGTAAACAAATCACAAAGAATATCTTGGGGTTAGGGTAGATAGGTCAATGAAGGTGTCAACTCAAGGTGTGGCAGCTGTTAAAAGTCAAACTCCATACTAGGGATCATTAGAAAAGGGACTGAAACTGAAATTGCGGATACTGCAATGACCTGAGACTAATTTGTCTCAGGTCATTGCAGTATCAGAAATTTATCTGTATCTAGACCACTATATGTAGTTCTGGTCACAACTGAAAAGGAATATAAGAGCTGGAAAACCTGCAGAAGAGGGAACCAATGATCAGGTTGAAAGACATTTCTTATGAGAAAAGTTGGAACATTTGGGACTCTTTATCTGAGAAAAAGGGTGATTAAGGGTGGACATGATTGAGATATATAACATCATGCATGGCACAGAGCAGGTGAACAGGGAATTGTCTTCTCTGAAAATGTTAGGACCAGGGATTATCCAATGAAGCTGATTGGAAGGAGATTCAAAACACATAAAAGAAAGTTTTTTTTTTACTCAGCACATAATTAATCTGTGGATTTCATTGCCTCAAGACATGAAGATGGCCACTAAATTGGATGGCTTTAAAAAGGGATTAGATGAATTCATGGAGGGCAAGTCTATTGAAATCTACTTATCTTAAAGACTCAGTGTTACTTTTGGGATTGAGGAAGCATGCCTTCAAATACAAGTTGCGGAGAGATACAGTGGAAGAGGAGTATGTCTCTGTCTTTTGCAGTGAGCATCCCAGAATTGATGGGCCATCGTAAGAAATCAAATGCAGAGTTAGATGGGGCTGCATCAGATTCGGCAGCAAATTCTTATCTATTCTACCAAGGAACATAGCAGGATTAAAATACAGGGCAGAACCTTGAAATTGATAAAGACAGGGAATACCTATTTACATTAAATTTAAAATTCCAGGGTTAGAATAATTGCATTTTAGCATATAGAAGAAACTAGTTAATATATTTGAGAATTCCCAGATAACTGATCAAATGCCAGATGACTGGAGGAAAGCCAATATTCCTGTCTTCAAAAATAGGATGCTGCAATTTGGATGCTTGCAGGAGGTTTGACTTAGTGGCTTAAATAGCCCCTTTGAACTCTATGATTCTACATTATGAATTTGATTATAAAATAAAACATATGGGGGGGGGGCTTGAAAGGAGTCTGAATGTGACCTGAGGGATCAAGCTCTGCATTATATGAGTTAGGGAAATCCATCTGCACATTTGGCAGGTATAGTTAGAACCAGTTCACACATTATGCTGCATTATTTTGTTAACAATTGGTTGGATACAGATGTAACATTAAGCTGCTTGACTGATTAAAAAAAAATTAAAAAAAAAAAATTAAAAGCTTGCATCCTGCAAAGCAAAGCAGGATTTTAACGCCATCTTTCTTTTTGTCCAAGTATGCTTTTGGTTTCACGTTTTAGAAGCTAAAAATAGTGGGTGGCTGCAGCTCAAATGCTTTGTTTTGATATGCAATCTAATTAATCTGCACTACTGCCCCATCTATACTACATGTAGTCACATACATACATGTATATAAAAACAAGCTCAGATACTATTACATTGTCAACAAAGTAAGATAAGGAAGGCTCCTTGGCCAGACACAAGTATTTACCCCTTTTTGTTTTTACAGTTTTCCCAGCATAATGCCTGGGAAATGAGTAACAATTAGGATTTGAAACAGAAAGTGCCTACATAGGGAGGGAGGGAGGGATGGATGGATGGATGGATGGATGGATGGATG